CAATAAATTCCTAATTACTGCTTATTAGTAGTTAGTAAGGAATAGTTGTTAAAGGAACACTCCGACTTTTTGGGACTTTAGCCTATTCACCTTACCCCCCAGAGTTAGATAAGTCCATACATACCTTTTTCATCTCCGTGCGTGCTATAAGTCTGTTTGACGCACCCACCGCTAGCCTAGCTTAGCACAAAGACTGGATGTGAATGGTTGCAGCTTTCATACTAATCCAAATGAGTGACAAAATAACGCAAACGTTTTCCTATTTACATGTTGTGGTTTGTATAGTCACAGAGTGTGCAAATATCAAGGCCATATGAGACACAGACATCTTTTGACCGTATAAATACTATATTTTCTGAAGGGGAAGCACTGGGCAGAGTGATAACAATCACCTGAGACGCACCGTGACGAGGAGCAGAGAGTTCGCTTCGCTCAGTGTTGGAATAAAGAGTCAGCAATTACTAACGTTAGATAGAAAAGCATAGTTTATCATGGGTGTTTGCTTTATTGTATGAGCTGTGACAATAAACAGGGGAGACCAGGTAATACAGTACCATGTTTCATTGATTTCCAACCAAAAACGCACCCAGATTTATAAATATCACATGAATAAATAATTATTATTACAGGAATCAATATATTTTAAATGCAATTTATTAGCTGAACCAAATGTATTCAACAGAAGACTATATAATATACAGTATTGCATTACCATAGGATAGAATAAGGGGAAAGTAATAGCACAAATTGTTTTTGCACAATGAACTCACAGCCTATCGTACCCTTTTGCACGCTCAAGTTCGTTATTTCCATGGTTATTTCAAATGTAGGCTACTAGGCGCGCCACGCGCAGGGTGCAAGTTCAACGCGGTGAACGCGCTCGTTTTTTTTTTCCCAAGCGCGTCCGCACCGCATCAAGATAAAAACATATTCATACCCTAATCATATAATAGTGTCACTAACGTTACATTAGATCTGGCTAAAGGCACTGTTACAGTAGGTCATCTAAAAACATAACGGAACATTACCTCAGCCGCAGGTGATCCACTTGTCCTGTAACGTTACGTGCTATCGATGGGATGGCCGTATCCTTCAGCACATTATGGTCCGTGTGGCAAATTCCATTTTTTCAAAATAGTCGTCCTCATTGAAATGTACCGAGCAAACATAATGTCCCTTGATAATCTTAGGTGTGTTTGGATAAATATCCAGAGTAAGTTAGACATTTCTTCATCCAGTCAGCGTTTTTAGTTGGAATTCTGTGAAACATGGTATTACCTCCCCTGTTTACTGTCGCAGCTATTTACAATAGAGCGAAAACCCATGACTCTAAACTACGCTTTTACTATTTATAAATTGCTGACTCTATTACCCAAACACCGAGCGAACTCTCCGCTCCTCACCACGGCGTGTCTCCGGTGATGCGGTTATTACGCCGTCAAAGTAGCAGTGCTTCGCCTTCAGAGAATAGTTCCCAGGTTTTATACGGTTAAAAGATGTCTGTGTCTCATTTGACTTTGTTATTTGTACATTCTGTGACTATACAAATCACAACATGTAAATAGGAAAACGTTTGCGTTATTTTGCCACTCATTTGGATCAGTATGAAAGCTGCAACCAGTCACATCGAGTCTTTGTGCTAAGCTAGGCTAGCGGTGGGTGCGTCAAACAGACTTATAGCACGCACGGAGATGAAAAAGGTATGTATGGACTTATCTAACTCTGGGGGGTAAGGTGAATAGGCTAAAGTCCCAAAAAGTCGGAGTGTTCCTTTAAGTGTAGGTATTGGGCTGGATTAATGTATGTAGAATATTATGCAGAATAGTGTTGTCACGATACCAAAATTATTGTTTCGATACCGATACCAAGTCAAGAATCGAGATTTCGATACTTTTTCGATACTTTTCCTGAAAAGGAAAGTATTTCTTACAGGGCGTTTCACATGCACCTCCTTTGCGTAGGTCTGTGCTCTTTAAATGCTGTAATAACCTAATATAAATAAATCACTGACAAATATGCTCATGCTCTAATTATAATCATATAGCCTATAGATCATTTTAGCTGATGCTTTGTATGCATTAGTGTATGCCAACACTAATGCAGAATAAGGCTGCTTTATAAGTACTAATAAACAGCAAATATCCTAGTATACATGCTACTGAGAATTGGACCCTAAATTAAAGTGTTACTGGAAAAAGCAACAAATCCCCAATGCTAGGTTTTTTTTATTTTGAACAGACAGCTAGTGCACCTAGCGTCCCCTGAGGTAGTTTGTACAGTACAGCCTCTTCTAGTGTATTTAAACATTCAAAGCTTAAGCTCAACCATCCGATACTTTCAGCCTTTCAAAGCATACTTTGCCTAATGCTCCAGTAGTTTGAAAAGAGCTGGGTCAAATGCCAGGCCAGGCTTGCCAGCTCGCCCTCCTTGCTCTGGCTGGCCAGCCCATTTGAGTGTTTTCCAGACAGTAAACTTTGTGATTGTGACAGGGCCAGTTTTTCCACCTCCCTGCTAATCCGAAGCATCCAAGATGAGTCGAACTGCTCTGATTTCCTACATCTCTGTACTTTTTGTTTCTCTTGTCACTCTGCATTTATTTCATGTTCATATGTAATAATAAGTGGGAAAATGTGCAATAAGTATCCGTCATTATTTATTTATTTATTTATTTTTTGAGGACGTAGTGTACTTTGTGCTATTGGAAATTTCCTAATTCCAGTTCCCATTGCTAAAGTCATGATTATGAGCTTGTCGTGTTGAAGTTCTTTTTTTGTCTTGAGAGGGTCGTTCATGTCCAATTCTCGACTAGACAACTCATATTGAAGAGTATTCGATTGCATGTGAAGGCAGAATGAATCTCCGTTGAAGTCTCCTTTTTCAATGTGGGAAGTTTTGTCTCTGAGGAAGTGTAACCCATTGAGGTTTGGAGTTTCAAACGTATATTTTCATGGCATTGTGTCTTTCATGACTTAATTTGAGGAAACTACTCTGGCTCAGTGTTTTCTGTGGCATATTAAGCTGTTCTTCTGCTTTTCATTCACTAAAGTCCTCCAGAATGCACTCTTGTGAAAGCAGCTGCCATGTGATTGGTTGATTAGATAATTGCATTAATGAGAAACTGAACAGGTGTTCCTAATAATCTTTTAGGTGAGTGTGTGTGTGTGTATATGTATGTATATATATTAGGGCTGGGTAATAAATATCGATTTCTCGATATTAATCGATTCTCATTTTTATGAACCGAATCGATTAGTCATTCTGTTTCGTTTGAATGAATGGATCATTGTATCGCGGCTGTGCGCATCCAAAACAGCGCAATAATCTTTGTCCTTTGTTACTATTGATATGAAACAAAGTATCAATTTTCAAATTACGTCCATTTTCTTTAGAAATTCAAAAACATAAATATAGTGTTTTGGCGCTGTGGCGTGAGATCGCTCTGGCTCTGCTCAAGAGAAGCAGCAGCGCTGATCTCTCTTCCGGCTTAATAATACCAGTCACAGCGCCAAATAAACATGAATGAGCATCGAGTACAACTTAACGAAATCCGTATCATGTCACATTGATTCGCTCAGACAGCGTTTCAACCGTGGAAAGACGTCAGTCAAACAGCTTGTAATCAATGTCTTGTATCGTCATATTTACCTCAGAAAACCCACAAACTCGTTAGTCAGCTAGAAAAAATAACTCTAGAGAGGAGCATTTTGCTAAATATATACACTATATTACATATGCATTATAATCTTAATGTTCTTCAATATTTAATGCATATTTGAATAAATCTGGCAAGTTTTTATGACAGCCACCATTTAAATGTTTATATTTCATATAATCTTCTTATTATAAAAATAAATACAAGTGTAATTTAAGTGTTTGTATAGCTACAAAACAGTTCATTATTACCTTCATATTAGGCTAATGAAGCCTATAGGCTACAACTAGACTCCCATAGGTTACAGCATTTAAGAGATTTGATTCCCTTGAGAAAAATGGCCGTTTATTGTAACTGATATCCAAAATAATCAATATTGAATCGAATCGAATCGTAATCGAAATCGAATCGAATTGCGAGCTTGTGAATCGAAATCGAAATCGAATCGAATTGTGAAATTTGTCTCAATACCCAGCCCTAATATATATACACATACACACAGGTGCAAAAGTTATAGTTTTGATGATTATGGGCTACAGCTTATGAACCCCAAATTCAAAATCTCAGAAAATTAGAATAAGGTTGCCTAGTCACCCAAAAAAAACAAAAAAAAAGGATTTTAAATACAGAAATGTCGGCCCTCTGAAAAGTATAATCATGCATTTGTATATATTTATATTTACTAAATATATTGGTTTCACCTTTTAATTTGAATTACTGAAATACATGAAACTATATTGTGAAAGTGAATTGTTCAGATAAGTGAGCTCTAATCAATAAATTAATTCAACTTTAAAGCCAATTTTTCTGAATCAAAATGAATTTTAAATTACTTAAGTGTGTGAAGCCTATTCTCCCTCCAGAAGTATCAGTGGCTCGTCTCTTCATGTCTGAGCGAGCGCTTTTGGGCCACAATAACCCACAGTGTGTGAGTCAGGCTTTATTCTTATAGTCAGAAGTCTGACTCAGCTAAACAGTGTGTGTTATGAGGATTCGTGCCAATTCATTCACATTAAACAAAGCATGTTTTTATAACTGAGCTGAATGTTGGGTAAGCAGAAAGATGGACGGCTTCTATCTTTGTCTACATATTGTTGGTATTTCCTTCCATTTTTGTTAACAAATTTTGTTTGTCACAAAATATCTATTTTTAGGGGTCTCTGTAAATTATCTTTTTTTAAAACATTATGATATCAGATTTGTTTTATATCAGAATACAAGAAACTAGAACCGATCTTTATGATTTGCTCTTGTTCCTGTTTGTAAATATATTTTTGTTTCTTTGCATATCAAATATAATCATTTTTATGATTGATATCCTGATATGCTGCTCTCTTTCTGTTCATAGACACGTATGCAGAGTTTACAGCCAGACCCAAATGCTCAGTACCGCAGCGTTTACGGAGCGCTGAAGAGGATTGTGCGGACTGAGGGCGTCCTTCGGCCCCTGAGGGGCCTCAATATCACTGTACTGGGGGCCGGCCCCGCACACGCGCTCTATTTCGCCTGCTACGAGCGAATCAAACGCAGCCTTAGTGACGTCATACAGAACGGCGGCAACAGCCACATTGCTAACGGTAGGCGAAAGGGTTCAAGTCTTAAGGAGTGTCCTTTATGAGTAATTGATATTTTTGGGTTATTGTAATACTCCAAGGCAAATTGAAAAGGTTAACAAAAAATGTACTGTTGATTAAAATGCTAAATTTGATATTACATTGTGTGTGTAAATGAATAGTCTTGGATTTGGTGCTGGAAACCCAACGCACAGGACAATACAGACAACATATAAACATATTCATGATTCTGAAGCTGAAAATACAGAATTATTTGAGATTGAATATGCTTCCACTCTGTCACTGACTAGATATATTTAAAATAATGTAGGACACGTTTTACTGGAAACATTTGCCATTGATATTCCCCTATTGCATTATTATACATTTATATTCAACAATATATATAGTCGTTTAATGTAGTACTGACACTAAAACTCTGTAAACCTTTTTCTCCCACAGTAATTTTTATTTTGGGTGAATTATACACATAACAATAATACATATTGTTGCATTTTTGTATTGTGAAATATTGTGACTTGTATATATTTCTGATTTTAGAACCAAAGAGCGAGGCTATAATTTGAAAGGCTCAGGCCAGGGTTGTTTGTGGGGAATGGAAAGTAGAGTGGCATCTTGACTGGGAAATAGGACATTGTAAATGTAGCAAATTAGTTTCTGATCCTGTTTTTTCTACATGTTGTCACTTGATATTTAGAATTTTTCTTCTTTTCTTCAGGTGTGGCTGGGAGTGTTGCTACTGTCCTCCATGATGCAGTCATGAACCCAGCAGAAGGTATTCTTCTTTCACTGTCAATACCTTCAATAATAAATATTATATTGTTGGTACTGTTATGAGCAGCGCTTGACATGAACTTTTTCGCTCTCCAGCAACTGTGGCTACTGGTTTTCCAGTAACTAGCCACTCAGCGTTTTCACCGGCCACAATTTTGACATGGATGCATATTTAAAACTGCCATATTGATATTTTTAATACTATCTCATAATTGGGTAGCAGGAATATTAGGCTGCTGTCACTTTAAGACCTGACGCACGGATCCATTGTACTGTTATACATCCAGTTGCTTTCTGTTTACGTTTGCTTAAAACATGACTGACTGTGTTTATGTGAATACTTGCTAAAACTAGCATTTTTACGTTCTCTCATAATTATACAGTTGGGTATTTTATATAATTGGCGGCAATCAGGGAGCGCCTATCAATATGTATGTGAGGTGAATATTGAAATGGGTTTTGATTGCACGCTCGTTTTTTTACTTTCACATTCCAGTTCGTGATCAGGCGCACAGGGAGAGGCAGCACTGACCACACATTTTACATCAAATTCACATTAACCCTCAAACCGTATTCACTTTATAGCCCTTAATCCTGTAATTGTGGACAAATGTGGGCACAGAGGACTCAGGTGTGATCCTAATTTTTATTTATTATTAATGTTATATCACTGTCTTCGATAAAGTTTTGTTTATCCATTTATGGTGGGTTTTTTTTTTATTTTCGGGGTATTTTTGAATTTATTTACTTCAAAAAGTACCATATTTTCTATGTAAATTATGCTTATTTTTATGTTTTTTTTTTTTTACTACATTAAAATATCATTCCAATAAGTTCTTAGAGCTAAAACCTAAAGATGAAGTGACTTAGCTGTCACCTGATGTCTTATTTTGGCTTATTTTAGAATGCTTTAAATTACAGTTTTTCCCATTCATTTCTATGGGCGCCCATTTTTGACCCAAATACAAGATTAAGGAGTTTTTTTTCACCCACTTAACTTTGTAGAATTGAGTAAAAAAAATAATTGTGTGTGTTCAGGAGGCAAACTTAACAAAAAAAAAAAAAGTAGCCAAGTCTTGTACCGCTCAGATCAAGGAAGTTTTTTTTTCCCCCGTGAAATCAAAATTGAACCTATTTACTTTGTTAGCGCATATTTCTAAGTCTTGTGGTGAACAATTAATCCGTGCAAGTAAATATATATTAAAAAAATGTTTTACTTTGGTAATCTTTAATCACAATCTGAAAAGTTACTTCCGGTCTGGAACGGTTTCTTTTTCTGATGACGTAGGTTTCACAGTTTGGGTGGGGAAACGCGAGAGATGGAGAGGAGGAGCGCTAGAGTAAAACCCTGCCCTCTGTTCAATATTCTGTTTCACTTGGAAATACGTCACAGCACTGGAGAAAAATCGCTTGCAACTTCCGGTTCACGGGGACTTAAAATAAATCAAACTATTTTTCCCAGATTTGTCCAGAATACGGTTTTAGGGTTAAGCCGTTTCATGATTCTTGTTTTCACTCTCAAATTTAAGACCTCTTAAAATGATAATTAAGACATTGGTTAATATACTATTTAACCCTCTTTTGCTATTTATTTATTTTTTCCCTGAATTTTATTACTTCATCGGAATGGTACGGAACTTGGTAAAGGTTTTGCAAATTGCTGTGTGAACACACACACACAAATCATGGACATGATTTGAAATTGTTAAATGATCCTGAAAAAAAAATAGTTGCACTTGTTTAGTTCGTGGTCAAAAATAATGATATATATAAGCCTCAAATTTGGAGCACAGCTTGTTAAGATTTATGGCTTTGTTTTAGAGTAAAATATATATTTTATATTAAATTTGAAAATGGTATTTTTGAGCATTTTTCATTACAATAAATGCTACATTTTATAAAATTTTTTTTTAAAGTTCACTTTTTCACAGCAATAATCTGCCTAGTGTCTTATTTAAAAAGAGACAAAACTGAAGTCTGTGACCCAAAGCGTTTAAGATTCGTGACTGGAATGTTTTCTATGCTCAAAGTGAATTATTAAAGAAATATTAAATAAAAAAAGACTATCGAACTAAAATATAGTACAATCATTTCAATGAAGATTGTTTTTTTTTCTTTCATTTTTGACATTAAATTGTTAAATTTGACACAACTAACTTTCCGTTAACAAATTTTACAGTTCGCACACATCTGTTTAGTAGTTAAAACACGTGACATGAATGCTTTGTGTTTTATAAATCACGGTTCATAGCGGTCGGCATAGACTTGCAGTTCAGTTCCGTGTACGATGAGTGTTTTATGTTTTAACGTTTCCAGTGTTTTTCTCCTCTATTAGTGGTGAAGCAGAGGATGCAGATGTACAACTCTCCGTACCGAAGCCTGTATGACTGCGTGCTGACGATCAGTCGTAAGGAAGGACTGGCCGCCTTCTACCGCAGCTACAGCACTCAGCTGACCATGAACATCCCCTTCCAGGCCGTTCACTTCATCATGTACGAGTTCATGCAGGAACATTTCAACCCACAGCGCCAGTACCGGCCCGAAACGCACATCGTGTCCGGAGCGGCGGCCGGAGCCGTGTCCGCCGCCATCACCACTCCGCTAGACGTGTGTAAGACGCTGCTGAACACGCAGGAGAACGTGGCGCTCAGCTCCGCGCACGTTAGCGGGCATCTCTCGGGGATGGTCAACGCGCTCAGGACGGTTTACCGGCTGGGGGGCGTCCCCGCGTTCTTTAAAGGCATCCGAGCTCGGGTCATTTATCAGATGCCGTCTACCGCCATCGCCTGGTCCGTCTACGAGTTCTTCAAGTACTTTCTGACCCAACACGAGCCACAGGAACTGGGGAGGAACACTCACAGGGCCAGTCCCACATGAGCGGGAATGTAGAGACACTCCATATTCATATGCAGTAGACACTCCAGTCTCGAACCTTTTAATTTATTGGAAGAGTTTAATAATGTTACAGGAATGTAGGGACGCTGCACACTACAGAACGTTTCTGTTAAACATGACTGAAACAGAAAGGTAAAGAGGTGTAGATGTTTATTTTAGTGTTCTCAACCACAAAACATATTTATGATTGGGCGTGATGATGTATGGATGCGCATCTATATTTATGTATGCGCTCAACACTGACTTCTCAATGATAAAACGAACCCATTTGGACGTTTTAGTGGATTTTCTGGACTTTTCCCTTTTTTTAGGGGTTCAGGAAAGTTAAATTTTTTTATTATTTTTTAATAATTGAAGGCATTGCTGAATTTTGCTGCGCAATAATCAGACCAGTTTTTGTTGTTATAATGCCTAGTCACCTATGAAATCAAACTATTTTGAATTGGACACACTGCTTTTTTAAAAACCTTAACGTGATTATCAAGTGTCCTTTATGTATTTACATCTTTATGTCTTAGTCAGGGAAGATGGCATTTTTAATTTGACTGAAATAAATCAAGGCTAGTAGGAATGGAGGTACAGTCGCTAATTTTGGCACCTAGGCAAGGCAAGGCAAGTTTATTTATATAGCACATTTCATACACAATGGCAATTCAAAGTGCTTTACATAGAAGAAATTAAAATAATCAAAATAAATCAGAATAATTAAAACAGTTTAGAATAAAACACCTAGAATTTTTTACGACATGAAGTACAAACATTTCATTTACCCTGAAACAAATCGGTTTTATTCATTTAGATTATCCAAATGGGATTTAATACGTTACATTTTTAAAATTCCAAAGAATGAATTGGATGCTAATTGAATTAAATGGCCTGATTTCATCACACTAAAGCACTTGGGATTTCCGAACATGGTGAGAAAGTTAAGTTTTTTTATTTTATTTTGTTGTTTTATGACATGATTGCCATCAATATATTTATATACAATATATATTTATCTACATTTTGAGACATGATCTATGCAGTGGGTTTCGCAGCTTTGGACTAAAGCTGCAGTTGAAATCACTTTTTCAAATGAATTACATATGACGTTTCATAGCTGTTCCTCCCCTGACAATCCATGTCCGTCTGGGACCGGGTTTATTCCGTTTCTTTTGTGTTCCGCCTCTGGGAATCTCCAGATTCAGTCACCAGTGAGGATAGAGCTTGCCGTGTTTGGCAGAAATAGACCTTTACTCCGAGTAGAGACATTGAGACGTTGAAGGTACAGGTTCTGCATATCCATGAAATTCATAATTAAAGATTTAAAGGGATAGTTCACCCAAAAAAGTCCTCATTAACTCACCCTCATGTCGTTCCAAACCCAGAAGACTTTCGAAACACAAATTAAAATATTTTTAATAGATTTGTCCATCTCCACACAACTAACATTCTTCTGTTTACAAAAACGTCATAAAAACCGCTTTATATGTTAAACAGATTTAAAGGGATAGTTTACTTTGAAATTAATTTTTTATGTTTTAGCTTACCTTTTCAATTTTGGCATTTTTTGGTCAAACCATTGTTGTGTGTCAATCATATAATGCAGGTCTTTGGGGATCTCCTAAAAGAGCATGCACAGAGAAGTCCAAATTAAACATGATTTAATGACTCGTAAATGTAAGTACACACTGATGGCCTAAGACACGAAACGAGCGGTTTGTGTGAGAATACGAAGAGTATTTATATCGTTTCTACCTTTTTGTTAACAGCTGTCGAACTGATCTGAATCAGATTTCCAACTGAACCGAACTGAACCGTCTCCAAAGTTGCGCCGGAAGTGATCTCTCGCGCGTCTACGTCACGCACTGTTTACATGGAGATTTCGGAAGTTTTACCTTTCGCTAGACATATTTAGTTATACAGGAAATCGCAATAGAAGACGACTTCGATATATCTAAATATGTTAATTTAAAGGTAAAACTTCCGAAATCTCTGTGTAAACAATGCGTGACGTAGACGCGGTTCAGTTCGGTTCAGTTGGACATCTTATTCAGATCAGTTCGACGGCTGTTAACAAGAGGTAAAAACGATATAAATACTGTTCGTTTTCTCACACAAACCGCTCGTTTCGTGTCTTGTGCCATCAGTGTGTACTTACATTCACGAGTCATTAAATCATGTTTAATTTGGACTTCTCTGTGCATGCTCTTTGATGTGGACTCCCTAAAACTGCATTATAGGACTGACAGACAACAACGGTTTGACCAAAAAATGTCAATATTGAAAATACTGTGGAAACAAAGACACCTACATCTTGGATGCCCTTGAGGTAAGCTTAAACATATCAAAACTTAATTTCAAAGTGAACTATCCCTTTAATTTAGGTACGTCAAATATGGTCATATTTGAAGATTTGGATTTAAATGTTATGATTCCTATGGATCACTTTTACAATGTTTTAATGAACTTTGTGAAGCTTGAAGGTGTGGATTTTCACTGGATGGACAAAAACGAAACTATTAGGGGTTGAATGCTTCAGATTTTTTTTTTAAGTCGACATTTATGTGATTAAAGCAGAGTCAATGTCGATCAGTCGCTGGTGACCTCATGAACAAATAAGATGACCCTCGATCTGAGACTTGAACGTGGCTTGCCTTGTGCACAGCTCTGGCGAACCACACATATTCTTATCAGTTCTTTTGTCTTTGGGTCGTTATATTTCGTTATATTTATTAAAATAGCACAGTAAAGATTAATGTTTCTGTGTGAGCGATTTGCACGTAATTTGTGCGCTTCTGTGTGTGTGTGATGTAGCAGCGATTCAGTTACCTGTAAAACAAGCATTCACGTGATGCATCTTGAGCTTCCAGTTGGTGTAATCAAACATACAGTATGTGTGGAGTGCTCTCTGATACTGGTGAAACTCGAAAAATTCAAATATTGTGCAAAAAAAGTTCTGTAATTCAACTTCAAATGTAAAACTAATATATAGACTCATTACAAAGTGAGATATTTGAAGCCTTTATTTGTTATAATTTTGATGATTATGGATCACAGCTTATGAAAACCTTGTCACAATATTCTAATTTTGAGGTTTTCATAAGCTAGGTGAATTTTTGTGTGATCTATCCCTTTAAGGTCTTTGCACTGGAATCACGCACAATAACCAAGCGAGTGGAGGAATAGATTTGTAAATAGTGTGTAGTATTTGTAAGAGTTCTTCATTTTGACTTTTCGCTCTTGATTGAGACGACGTCCCGTCATTGGAGCCGCAGACGAAACGCACACCGTAGCCTTTATTTGCCTCTTTATGCCAGTGTTCATGAAAGGATTGTCCACATCTCTTTAACCCGTGCAGCGTACGGGACGGTGTGTGTGTGAGAGAGTGTTTCTGCTCTTCTAGCTGTGTGTTCTGTGCCTTTCCTTTGTCCTCTCTCACTTCCGGTTCTCTTGGACTTTTGACTTCAGTTTGTTTCAGCTCAGGAGGATTGGACATTCCTTAATGAGAGTTTTGTTTGTTTGCCTTTGATTAAATGCTTATTGGTTTAGTGCTTCGTTTGCTTGTGTGTTTCCAGACCACTGTTTTTAACTATAGCATCTAAGAACCAAAGAATTTGACTCATTCACTCACTACATTACCATTACAGGACAGCTTTATATATAACGTAGAAATTGAATAAGTCACCCTTTGAGTTTTTCAAGTTGGGGAACAATAATGTTAGCATTGGAGGTGTTGACTTTGTGATGTGTTTTTAGGTTTTCCCTTTTTTCTGGGTTCGTTACTGTGCTGGTTTTAGTCATAATGGGCCTGTTTGGCCTTTCATTCGATTGACCAACCGTTACCCTTTGGCTCCATGTTGTATGGTGGAAACCCCATGGGTTTGTTTCCTCTGGGACCAGCATTTCTGAATGCTTCGTATCTGTATTTGCTCTGCAAACTTGCTGTTTTAAAATGCACATTGTATAGAGTGCCGAAGTGATGACGTCACTTTGTAGGACAACTCGGAAGCTAGCGGCGCATGGGTTCCCTCGGTCGAAAAGCAATGCATTTTCCCCATAGACTTTAGGAAAATCGCAAAAAACAAGATCTGTGTTTAACAAAGAGTTGTGACCCTTACACGTTTTGTCTATCAAGATAATCTTTACAAGTTAATCCAAAATTTATACATTTTGAAGCCCATATAAAGATGTTAAAAAACACAATCAGACACAATAAAGTTAAAAAAACACACAAGCAGGTTATAACTGTGTGTTCTATGTCATAGATCAAAACGTGAAAATATTTAGAGGCTTTGTTCACCACAGACCTTATTTCAGGCGATTTAGCAAAAACCCATTCAAAAATCCCATAGGCTTTAGAGTGAGGGAACCGCTAGTGCTAAAATGCTAACTCACTTCCGCGATTTGGCCTACAGAGTGACGTCGTAACTTCGGCACTCTATTTGACTCAGTATTTCATTTCTCTGATGTTACAGGTTTTGCTTTTGGGTCGAATATTAATAACATTCCGTTGGTTCTGTGTGTGTTGATCACCCCTGTCTTGCTGATGATCATCACTATATGCCATGCATTGAGAAAACAGATGTACCGATGTCATATCCTGATTAATTATGCTGCAGTATTGCTCTCATCAATATGCACCATGAACGCATTCCTGTCTTGGCCGCTTTGTGCGCACATTGTAGAAGAAGTGGGAGGATTTTGATAAAGATAGTGCCATCTAGTGTACGCAAGTTTGTCTTTCGTTTTTTACTGCAATAAATATGAAAAATGTTGAGTCTCAAACTGATTGGTGGAAATGCTGCTACAGTTTGAAACACTGGAGCTGAAATAAAATGCACAATGATCAAATGATTTAAAGGCATCTTATTCAGTAAAACGAAGCTTGTACCGTTGTATGAATGTATTGCTAATGTGTGGGTTGATTGTGAAGCTCATTTTATGGGCTGTTAATAAAAAAGAACAATTTAATTCAGACGCAACACAATTAATTTAAATAGGCTATAGCCTACAAGATGTTATCTTATTTTTTCACTTTGAATGTAACATTTCTTTGGCTGAAGTTAATTTTAAAATTAAATTTCTATATTTAGAAAAAATATAGTTAAAAATAAATTATTATAACCTGTGGACACTTATGACAGGATTTGATAGTCGGTGATGCTGTCATATGTTGAAATATAAATCTATTAAAGTTTGTTTTGTTCAAAATTAATAAAATTTTATAAAATAAGTGCTTGTGTTTGGCAGAATCGTTCAGTTTATGATACAAGCGTGCAAATTGGCATGAACAGTCTCCATGGGTCACTTGACAAGAAAATTGTCTGAGCCACTTGAAATTTCAAGACGGCGGCCATTTTTCAAGATGGCCGACACCTTAGTGAAGGGGTCATTTGACAAGAAACCGCCCACAGCCACTCAAAATGTCAAGATGGTGGACTTTTTTTCAAGATTACTACCACCTAAATGGAGCAGTTAAGCGATGTAATCGTTTAGTTAGTGACATAAGCATGCAAAATGGTATGAGCAGTCTCTAAGGGTTGGTTGACAAGAAAACTCAGCCACTTGAAATTTCTATTTTCAAGATGGCCGACCCCTGGATCCTCAAAAGATAAATTTTCCGATAGAAATGTATTTTTTTTTTTCATTAAGGGTGGTTTGGTGTCATATTATTTTATATGTTTTTAGATTATTCTAAAGAACAACTTTTAACGCATCAAAATACTGTTGTGTTGATTTGATAATAGATAGATTAGACAAGAATGAATATCTGCACTACCAGGGCACACTGGTGACATATCTTTGCTGTTAAACTCAAGAGTGGGGTTCAATGTCCGCTAATTGTAATGGTAGTATCCAAAATGCTGTCTAATCTATCCCCGAAACAGTTAGATAGCCCTGATGATTGATGCCGATGACACAGACATTTTAATCATAGCCACAACTTGGCCTGGAGAAAATGTGGGGTGAATTTTGGAGAAGACTAGATGGATTTCAGCCATAGGACCAGAGAAAACATGTGGTATCCTCTTTTTCCATGCCTTTACTGGTTGTGACATTGTGTCATCCTTCCATGGCAAATCAAAGAAGTCTGCCTGGAAAACATGGGACGTGTGTGATGAGGTCTCAAACGCATTTGCAAGACTCAGCAAATGTCCCTCTGCAGTGGAGGATACTGACCTGTGTAAAGTATCTCTGGTCAGGTTTTGGGGAATATGTATTAAATAATTCATAATTAATAATTATTCATATGGGTTTGGACCAGATAACCATACAATTTTAAATCGCCCAAAAAGGGTGTTATGTATATTACCTGCATCTGAGGCACGTGTATCTCGATGATTAACCACAAGTTGATTGCAATTAATTAAATAGATCACGTTTTACAGACTGGTAAAAATGAGCTCACAGATCGGTGCCAGAAGTAAAAATTCAATACGATTTCTCCAT